CTTCCTGTACTGCACCGACAATCGTATCTCTCCCGGTCGTTTTAAACGATTTCTCCAATGTCTCGTTGGTCACTACATTTTTCATTCGTATCATTATATCTCGATTCAAATGCTGAATCTCATCAGACATTCTCGTCACATTCTTTTCCACGTTTCTTCGCACCTTCTCCACATCGCTATGCACTTCCTGTACATCTCTCCTTATCGTTCTAAATGATTCCTCGATCTCGTTTCGCGTATCTCGAAGCGTACGCTCGACGTAGCTTTTGTTTACCACATCGGTGTCAAATTCCGGCGCGGCAACGTATTCTATTTTTCGCTCCTTCGCGTCGTAATGATCCGGATTCAGACAAAGCCCACTGTCGTGCACGTAATTTCGTAAAGATTCTATCGACGATCGCGATTTTTCGACGTCGCTCCCTCTCATAGACATACCAAATTTATTCACAGACATAGTATCGAATTCACGCGAACCTGACCACTGTCGCGATTTTTGTCACAACGATTCACTTTATAATTAAACTCAGTTCCGCGACGGAGTTCTTCTTGTCATTTCGCGACGCAACTGTAAAATAGTTTTTTCCAACTCTTTATTCGTCACCATACCTTGAAGTTGTTCTTTAAACGATTTCTCCAATGCCTCGTTGGTCACTACATTTTTCATTCGTGCAGTTACATCCTCCACGTTTCCACGTATGTTCTCCACATAGGTACGCACTCTCTGTGTATCTCTCCTTATCGTTCTAAATGATTCCTCGATCTCGTTTCGCATATCTCGAAGCGTACGCTCGACGTAGCTTTTGTTTACCACATCGGTGTCGAATTCCGGCGCGGCTACGTGTTTTATTTTTCGTTCCTTTGCGTCGTAATGATCCGGATTCAGACAAAGCCCATTGTCGTGCACGTAATTTCGTAAAGATTCTATCGACGATCGCGATTTTTCGATTTCGTTTTCCCTCATAGACATACCAAATTTATTCACAGACATCATATCGAGTTCGCGCGAATTTGATCACTGTCGCGATTTTCGTTACAGCAATTTAATTTATAATTAACCCAGCTTCGCGAAGTTCTTCGATTATCGATAATATTTCGTTGTCATGAGCATTATTATCCGCTCTACGAGAAGCATCGAGCAATTGAAGACGATCCACCAACTTATTGGGGTCGTCCCAATAAACGTAATCTATTTCGTTGTCGGTCAATTTCACACCGGATGGTATTAGGTGTTGGAATTAATTCGTAGCGTTTTTTAAT